AAATGGCAATACCCCTCTGTCTATCTTCCTTGCCCTCCGACCTTAACTTATTGTCACAGGACCCGCACGTGTTGCAAGGTCCAAGAAGCTTAACTAACGATGAGCTCAAGGCCTGGAGGGTAGTTCTGTGGCATATCTGCCCTGACCCACCTCTAGGGTCCTGTTGATAGGGGTTTAATTCAGCTGCATGCGATCTGGCTGTTCCTAAAACTAGGAAGTGCCCTTTAACCCACCTTTTTTTTTTTTTCAGCAACAAAGCTCAGGGCAGGGGTAGGTTTGAACTACATAGACCCTCTGGACAGACTGAATCAGAGAAGAGCCTTTATTTATTTCAATTAACACAGACAAACTACAGTCATAAGGCTACTGTGGTGAAGGCACACCAGCTTCTATAGCCAAGAGCACACAAGGGAAGAATATGGCTAGCAGTGCATCCACCTGCTTTTGACTCCCAACCCAAACAATCAGGTGCTTGTTCAGCTGCTGAACTGAATGGGGACCTGTGTCAAAGGCTGCCTGAAGTAGGCCTTGAACTCACATCTCTGGAATCAAAGTAAGAAGTCTTAACTTCTAGGGTAGCACTCCCACACAGGCTGGGTGTCAGGTAGGGAATTAAGTGCAGGTCTTTCAGGTAAGCTTTTAAAATGACCGTCTCTTCACAGGCCCTAGGTATGTTCTGTAAATGCAGACATTTGCTCTAGTCTCCGTAGCCAAAGTTCTTCCTGTGATGCCAGTTATTTGCCAGAAGGCTGCACCCCACCAGCAGGAATGCTTCATCAAGCTGAAAGGACTCCTGAAGATCCAGAATTTGAGAGTCTTCTGGTTGCAAGTCTCTACAGACACAGAAGCTTGGATTCTCTCCTGGAGATCAAAGAGAAACGGTTTGCTCCATTGCTGGAGTGGAAATCTGATCTTAAACACAGCCCTGCCAGCCCTGGAAATATCACTGCTGCATGGAGATCCTGAACAATGGAGCTTCTTTGTCATAACAAGGGCAATTGAACCATCAGCTGTTAATGCCTTTGGAAGTGTCAAGGAGTTTGCTGAGTGGAAAAAACAGAGTTCCTATATCCCACTGGAGAGATTGAAATTGCAGAGTAGAAAGGGCTCCCTTTCCAGGTCAGTGGTACTAAGCCCCAGCCAGGCTCTTAAACAAGGAAGAATAAATGAAGCGGAGCAATTAAGTGCAGGTCATTTGGGGGCCTGGCAGGAAAAGAGTCGGCTGCCACTTTCCAGATGGCTCTGAGATTTGGGGGAAGACTGGTCGCCCCAGTCCAGGCTCTTAAAAGATAGAGAAAAAAAGCAAGAGAGCAAGCCCTGAGAGTTAGTGTGGCCTGAATGCCTGGAACAGAAAAGCAAGTCTTGGATTTCAGCACACACAGCCCGCGCAGGAATTCCTTTGGCCCGTGAATGTCACACTTCAGCCAGGACCCCTCAGGCCCTGTTAGCAATAACATCAGTGCCTGAACGTTAACTGGGATTAGGAGAGGATTTCTGCAAATGCTGCCTCCATAAAAGAGGGTGGAGCTTTTCCAGACCAGCCTGGCTGGGGGAGGCACAAAGGCAGGAGTGCCATAATGCTGAGAGCAACAGGCGTTCAGCTCTTGCTTGCCTTGCTCAGGTGGCTGTCTTCCATTGAAGTGGCTGGCACTGTTCATGTGCCTGTCACCAGGAACCTCCCGCTGATGCTTTGGGTTCTGGAGGAGGAAGCTGGGTTACAAGTGGCAAGGCTGTGCTCCTCCTCTTCACTCACTCCTGTGTCAGGGAAGAGCCCTGCCAGGTGGCATTCTCAAGATCTCAAGATCTTGTCTCAGCATTGCAGGTGCAATCTGCGGTTCTTGGCTTGGCTCCTCCCTCCCTCACATCATCTGAATCTAGAGCACATTTGTTTCACATCAGATCACTACCCAGCCCCTCACCCATTCTCACAACAGTTGGCCACAGTTTTATTGAGACTCTTCCCCTTGGCTTGCAGGCTAGGCCACTGCTCTTCTCTAATGCCCAAAGCTCAGGCCATGCTCTGCACCAGCTCAATGGCCCAGCGTTGCTCATGAGCTGCAAACATGCTTGCTCCGGAGCGCCTGGGGAAGAGGGCCTGAGCTCAGACTCCAGCAGGAAGTCCCGTCTGGAGAGAGCTCAGGCAGGCTTTGCAGTTCTCAAGCAGCGCGACAAACGCAGGGGCCGCTGGGTGGAAGGAATTCTGCTGCTCGGTGCTGGTGGGTGTTGTAACGAGGATGGAGGTTTCATTCCAGCTGTCAGCACCATAGCAGCCACCCAGCAGCATTCAGTAGTGATCAGGTTTAAGGCTGAAGTCTGGGCACCGATTCAAAGCACATCACACACCCTTTTGCACCCTCCCAAGAACAACACTGGCTTAATTGGGGCAGCCAAGCACTGCTTGGTAAGCAGAACAGCTCTCCCACAGCCTCCCCTCTGTGGTCCGTAGGGGCCTGTTAGTTGGTGGCCCTGAATCTGTGCATTTGAACATTCAGATAAGGTTAAGGAGATTCTTGGTGTCATTGGGCATTTCTCAGCTGTCTGCTGCCCACAGCCCTGGATGAAGTGCAGCATGGCTTGTGTGGCTGAACTGGTGAGCGGGGGAAGTTCAGATGCCAGAGACCAGGAGGAGGCTTCCATCTGGTTTTAATACTGGCCCAGCTATCAGCTGCTGAGCAATGGGCCAGTGGTGCCAACTGTCTGGTCTGGGCATCAACACTGGCACCCTGGGGTCACTAGGAAGGTAGGAAAGGCCAGAGATGCTGGGCTGACCCCCATGGTCCAACTCATGGAGGTGAGAGAGAGGAAGCCCCTCAGTGGCTTTCACAGCCTTGCCCAGATCAGATTTCCCCTCTGAGATGTGGGTCTGGTGGGACTGGAGGCCCCTCCTCCCTTACCAGCGCTGCTGAGCAATGTGGTGGTTAAGGGAGCATGCCAGGCCACCCACACTCAGCTGAGCATGGCCACTCTCCACCTGCTCATGGGTGGGTGGCCAGCACCATTTTGGAGGCAAATTCTCGCACAAAGCGCCTGGGCTCTTATTTAATGCTACCCTCCTTCAAATACCTCTTTATGTCCTGAGCAGCCTCCCACAAGCACTCCAGCTATAACTGCCTACTCTGCATGTGCCTGCAGGCAAGGGGCTGCTGCCCTCTGCATGTAGCTGGCTGTAGGCTTCACTAGGAAGATTAGCAGGACTCACTAAAGTCTTGATGACCTTCCTCACTCCAGAGCTCAGCGTCTCTCTGTTTGTGCAGCTCTTCAACTGTGCCAGACTAGAGAAGGATCTGTAAGACCCCACAGGCCTGTTTTGTGTATTTGGGACAACACAGCTCTAAACATGCACCCCTTGCTGTGTGGGAGCAGTGGGATGCCTTTTGGGTGCATGGTCTCTGTGGTGAAAGACCTGGTCAGTAGTTGACATCAGTACCTGAGAATCCAAGGAACTGAGCCCCCGGGGCTGTGATAGGAGGCACAAGGAGCTTCCAGTATCTCTCTTCAATCAGGTACCAAAAACCACACCACCAGGCAGAATGCGGGTGAGCCTGGCAGCCAGAGGGGAAGCCATAGCCCCTGTTCTTCTAGCAGCTGAGTGTGAAGTGTGGGCTCATTATCCCTTAGGAACCCACAGTGGAGGGGGAAGATTTCATGGGGCCTGCCCTTAAATTCAGGTGGAATCAGGCTTCATTTGGCACTGACCCAGCTTTGCCTACCACCACTCCTCCCATTTGCACCACTGAGGCTACTCAGTGAGGAATCAGACAGGGGCTTGTTGGTTGCACCTGACAATGCCGTTTTCCTTCCTTACAGACCCACTCCCTGCCTGGGAGGAATACAGCCAAATCCTGTAAGTCCCTTGCCTTCTCAGGGAGAAGAAACACAGTCACAGCTGGGTTTTGGATCTGTGAAGCCTAGTTAGGGAAGCTTGGCAAAAATGCCCAGGGGGATGTACCATGGGGCGGAGAGGTTTCCTGATGACTGTTGCCCTTCTGTCTCTGCTGAGGGTTAGGATGCAGAGTAGAGACCAAGTCTTCTTTGAGGACTCACTTTGCTGGATGTCCTCAGACTCACAGACCTGTTTCTGCCCACACAGAGCAGCCCAGGTCTGTTGTGCACATTTGCCAACACAACGCCCATGAGCTGGGTGTGAAGAGGTGCAATTCCTGCCTGTCTTGCCTGAGTTAGTAAAAGCCCACAGCAGAGAGGCAGTTACACTAGCCACGCCAAACTTTTACTGCTATAACTTGGTTTGGTCCTGAGGGATGGATTTACTGTACCAGTGCTTGTCGCAGCTGTGCCCGCTTTGCTGCAAGCTGATCATTTTTACACTGGTCGTGTTGGTCCTAGTGTGTGAATCCCAGAATGCACTGCTGCATTGTGAGCTGAGCCACCAGTACTTTGGGTGAAGAAGGCTCTGCTCCCTTTCAGATGAACCAAGCAAGGGCATGGTGTTGGCCATTTGGCAATGGGGTCCTGTCCCAGGAAGGGCCTGGGTGTTACTCCTGCCATAGGACATCTTGGGCAGACACCCAGCACCCAGTGAGCTCACTCCAGGCATGTCTATACTGCATCTGTAGCACCCCTAAGAGTGCCATTGAGAACCAGGTCCCACCCCCCTGATGAAGCTCTACAGGTCCCAAGCCCTGAAGTAAGTCAGTTGAGGGTGCTGCCTGCTGCTACTTTCAAGCCTCAAATATGGCTACAAGCAGAGCTTGAGATGTGGAGAGTGGTAGCAAGGGCTCAAAGACCCAAGCAGCTCAGGCCTGGAAGGAGGCAGCAAGGCTCAGCACCTGCCAGGAGGTGTCATGGCAGCCAAGTTCCTCCAGTACTCACTCTGGCTGCATTCACAGTGGTGGTGACTGGTGCTCTGAGGGGTCCGCTCTATCCATGGGAGAACTTGGATGCCAGGAGCTCCTGGAGGGAGGAGTGGAAGGGGCTCAGTAGATGGCTAGGGAGAGATGTTCTTGTCTTAGCGGCACCACTGCAATAAAGGAAAGCGACTGTTCCCTGAACATCTGATTTAATGATCTCGGAGAAGGCTGTTACATCCCACTGGCCCTGTTACAGTACACACACAGAAAGGCCCTAGGTAACAGAGTGCCCTTTGCCACCACCTCCAAAACACAGCTTCCCCCATCAGCCAAACTCCTAATCTTCAACCTCAAATCAAAGTCCATTTCTTCTGCTAGCTGCTGTGACCCATCAGGGGACGAGGATCCCACCTGAGATTCCCAGCTCTTTCCTCTGTAGTTTGCCCTGAGCCAGGAATCCTTCCCCTCAGCTCAGCTCATAGAAGCTGGGATTTTCCTTTGTGGCAACCAAAATATCCTTAAACTGAGAGACCACGCAGCCGAAGTGTGACCCCTCCCAGAACACCTTCCCGCATTGGCTGCAGCAGTAGAAATAAGATGGATCCGCTTTGTCCAGCATCTTGACTGGGATGGTTCCCAGCTGCAGGGCGGTGCCGTTGGCCAGTGTCAGAGACTCCATGTTGAGACCCGACTCCTCCAGCCACTGCCAGTTTGGGTTGTAAACCAGCTGTGGAGAGTCAGATTCTGGGACAGTGGCCTCTGCGTGCATCTCTGGTTTCTTTTCAGTGCTTGCCAGGCAGCCTGTGGAAACAAGAAAGAACAAGCAAACCCTTGAAATACTGAGTAACAAGTGTGACAAATGGGGTTGGTGCTCAGTAGCAGCCCCCTCTCACATGGCCTCTGTTACAGAAACCCAGTTCCCAAGGGGTGAGATTCTGGAGTGCAGCCCAGAGGTGGGTGGGGGACAGGTGACTGGAAGCTCCCTTCTGATTCTAGGGCACCTGGAGATTGCACTCGGTCACACCAGGCTCCCTGGTGCTGCCTTTGGCTTCTGGCACAAATCTGTATGGCTGCTGCACTGCGTGCTGGGCTCCATGCCCTGCATGTTGCCTTTACTGGGGTTTGATGAGGGAGCTAGAGGATGGTATAGAGCTTGTCCATGGTGACCCCTAGCAGCTCCTTCACCAGGGATATTCTCCCTTGGCCTCACCTGGCTGCCATAGTGGCATGGAGAGGGCCATATGAGGAGGCCGGTGGATCCTACCCCTACAGTCCCATTTCCAGCTGCTCCACATGGCATTAGGGAACACTGCTGACCACAATGGTTATGTTAAGGCACACAGAGTCCCCAGGCTGAGCTACAGCAATCACTGCTCCCCTGGACGGTCATGTCATAGGCACAACAGCTTGAACCCTAGCAGCACCTGATCTGGTGAGTGCTTTGGTCAAAGACCCCAAGGAGAGTGCAGGTGCTGATAGTTAGAGGCACTGTCTTGTACTGAACCAGTGGTAAGATGTGTTGCTAGGGGCCCTTTGCTTATGGAAGTATTGTCTGTTGTGTGTGCTGGGGAGCTGAGGGTCATGCAACTGGAGCTCATTAAAGATCAAATTGCACTTTCTGCAGGAGCAGGAGTATTATCCAGCATCTTGGATGAATTCCAGTTGGGATAATTGTACTCTGTAATTCCCCTGCCATTTAGGTGGGTATGGTATTTTTCACTCCCTGACATACACTGGTGTGTTGTGTCGCAGTGTGCTGTTAAATGGGCCCTTTGATCCACCCCAGAGATGGCTGTATTTCAGATGATGCAAAGAGAAAGCACATGCATGTAATGTACTTTGGAAACCTTCAGCATTAAAGATGCTGTGGAAATATAAAAGATCATTACGAGTTATTATATGGATTAGTCACCAACTAAATGAACCTCTTGTAGCTTGCTCTATATTCAGATCCTAAAGGCATTAGGCACTGGATAGTCTATATGTGATGAGCAGAAACAAAGCAGCAGAAGTGCAGTTCTGCAACTGTTTTCTCCCTCTCCCAATGCTTCCCCCAAAGGTAATGTTTGTTCAGATAAAAGAAACCCAAGAGGTGTGTTCCTCCCTGCAGGTGCTGTGTTGCTTCATGGAAATCTGAGGGCTCCAGGAAAAGTTCAGTCAGGGAACCAGCACCCAGGAACTTGGGTTGGATGCTTCAGAGCACGTATGAGCCTCCATGTGAACTCCCACCATGGGCGGAGCAAACTCTGCCATTGCAAACAAAGAGCCACAGAACCCGTTATGACTTTGGCAGCGCCGCTCAGGCTTGCACTGCTCATGTCCCAGCGATGAGGGCATGGTGAAGCCCTGGGATCCCAAAGGCGGAAGTCTCCAACTGACTTGACTGCCATCCATCAGGATGTCTGGCAGCAAGTGACGCAGGGAGGCGGACTGAGATTATTAGCCAGGGATGATTCATCCTTGGCAAGGGAAACGGTCTTGCCTAGACATAAGTTATACAACAAAAGGCAACTTGCTTTTCTTCAGTATGACATCACTGAGGCTTTCAATGTGTTCCTCTCTAGGACACAGAGAACTTTATCAGAAGTAGTCCTCAGTGCTCCAGGCAGTGAAGTATAACAGTGCTAAGTCAGACCTGGCTCTTCTGTAGGGCTCTCTAACCCTACATTTCAAAGCTCTCAACACAGATAGAACTTTTACTCCCGTCCTATTGATAGCAAAAGGAGTGCTAGGGACAGCGATAAACCAAGACTGACCCCAGGAGGGTACTCTGGCCACTGGACCCTAATATCATTTTGAAGGGAGTCTGGGATTCAAACCTAGGGTGATGCCACAAAGGAGAGATCCTGGATTTGAGACCTGCAGGGTCTTACAGATATGGATGCAATAAGATTTTGTAGAAATGCCCCCTCAGCTCTGTAGGGATAGACTCTGTTTGACACCTCCTGGGATAAATAGCCCAGAGCTAGGGGAGGCCCCATATACCATCTTTGCACCTTCTACAGTCTGTACCATGTGAGGACTCCCTGCTTCTAGTCTACAAAGTCCATCATGTGCAGCAACACTGTGTCTGCAGGTGCTGCAGCTGGGCATAAGTCTGCAGCTTAGACATGGCCTCTGTCATCCGGAATAGTAAGAATAAGGACTCCTAAGTAAGAACATGACTGAGTACCCACCTGCCATCCTTCAACTCCTACCGTGCAATGCTCGGGCCCCACTCGGGGGTGGATGTTCCACAATCTAGCGGCACTGCTAAGCCACATGCCAAAGGCCTAATTATGCTCTGCTTGAACCTTGTGCTCATTCATTCCCATGCTAAACAGATGCTAATTGCTACCAAACCAGAGGAAGGAGGGTCTTACAGTCTGAAGCCCTGGGCTGCCACTTAGGAGACTGGAGCTGTTGTTCCTGCTCTAATACTGCGGCCCTTGGACAATGCATAGCCTCTCCTGTGCCTCCATTTTCCTTTCTATAAAATGGAGATGACAACCCCTCTCTCAAATCTATAGTGGCATTCAAAGGCTTATGAACAGAGTGCATTGAGACCCTCTTGGTGCTAGAGAAGGCCAAAGTATCATTAAGGGTTGCTCAGTGCAGGGACATAATCTTGGCCCTAGGGTATGTGAGAACCACAGTGGACACAGCTACGCTGTTATATGACATGTTTGAAACTCCCTGTCACTCTGAGCTCCCAAACCAAGGATGGATGGGATGCCAGCTAACAGACAAGCTCCAGGGAACTGTGGGCTGGTTGGCTTAGGATAGGAGTAATGGGGTGGGAACATCTGGTTTGTGTTGTGCAGCAGACCCGACCAGATGATAGAAACAGCCCCTTCTGGCTTTAGCATCTGCTGCTCTACATAGAAAGTCACTTTTGGTTGGCATTGCTTTTCTGACCACAGATGGGGGCACAGGCAAAAATCAAGACGGCACCTAAATGGTAAAAGAGACCCTTTGTATTCCCCTGGGACCTCTATTTGGGAAATGAAGACAACGGTCCTTCTGACCTGCCTCCTGCCATTGGTCTGTCTTGCCTATTTAGACTGTGGGCTCTTTAGGGACAGGAACTCTCTCTCACTATACCAGTGTACAGCACCATGAGGCTCTGGCTCTTGGCTGGGGCACCACTGTAATACAAGAGATAACAGTAACAACTTTAATGCAGCGACCCCATGACAGTTTGCCATGCAGTTCTGCCACCCTCCTTCCTGCAGGAAGGGAGGTCCAGCCTTGAAACGGTTAACTCTATCCTTCCCCCAGTTTCCTTCTGTGAAGGTATTAAAATGTCACGGCCTGGCTGTATTGATAGTTGTTGATCTTTTGCACTCTTCCAGGAATGCCTGGTATTTCTGCTCTCTCTTTGGAAACCGCTCCATCTATTTGCCACAGTGCAGCCCTCAGCTCCGATGAGCTCACAGCTCTCTGAAGGGTGTGGGATCGGGAAGAAATTCCCAAAGGCCTAAGGCTGTAGAGCGTGAAGTCACCGGCTCCCCCCAAGCACTCCTCTCCCCATCCCCCAGGAATGTAGCTGGTGAGAAAGGACTGGGGTGGGGAAGAAAGTTCATCTCTTTAAAAAGAGAGGGAAGAGAAAGGCGGTGATAGTCACCCGGCAGTTTTGCCTTTTGATGGGACCAGCCCCCCCCCCAATTGTGGCGCTTCAAAGGGTTGAAAATGCAACATCACTTCAAAGTAACAATTTTTCAATGGGAGCTTGTAAAACTCCCCCCCCCCCGACCGCCTCCCGCCAGCCCCCGATGGAATTCTTTTCAAAGGCTTTTGAAGATGCCTGTGTTCCCCATTGCAGCCGGTCTGAAAAGGCCACTGGGCGCCAGTAAGCAGGGTGCCAACTAGGCAAACAATCTTAAAGGGGGGGAAAAAAAAGCTGCTGTGAAAAGGTCATCTCCTTCATGGCTCCGGAGAGAAAGGGTTTTCTTTGGAAGGGGCATGGGGGAAGGAGAGAGGGAAGATTTCTTTAAGGAGGGATTTTCCCCCCACTGCCACCTCGTTCTTAAAGCAGAGTAAATAGGGCTGCCTTAGCTGTGTGAGAGAGTGCTGAGATACGCACAGCGGCTCTAAGGCAGTGGCACCCAGCGCAAGGGAATTGTGGGTCTCCCACGATCACGTGGCACGGTGCTGGGCCTCCTGGCATGCAGAGTGCAGGAAAACAAACCCCAGACACACCTTGACTTCAGGGCAAACTGGCATGAACACAGAGGTGGGCACACACACACACACACACACACACACACACACACACACACCCTGACTACAGTTCAAAAACAAAGGTGTGCTAAGCATAAGCCTCTTTGACAGGTGAACCCTACAGAGCTTTGGCTGTCACAGTCTTCCCAGCCATACCAACTTGCCGTTTCTGTGTGCACACCCACCAAGCGCAGCTTCTTTACATGGGCTGCATGGCAAACCAACTCCAAAAAGATGTGCTCTGCGGTGGCTGGTCCACAGTTTAGCTGACACAGCTGTCTAAGCTCTACTGTTCACTTGCAAACTAGTGTGAGACACAAGGATTTGTTTGGGGTGATGTCTTTTATTGGCCCAACTGCACAGCTGCAATACAGTAGGACAAGTTTTTAAATGCGAAGCGTTCCAACCACTTGATTCCAACAAAAGACATCACCCCCAACAAACGCTTGCCTCTCAAATAATTCCTGGACCATCATGGCTACAACATCACTCTAACACTTGCAAAGTAGTGGGATTCTGTGACAGAGCAATGGCTGGACCTTGTAATTCTGAGACCCAGCAATGGGCAGGAAGAGGGAACAAGGATGTGGGGGAGGTTA